GAATGCATTAAATGACGCCATGAGGATGGAATCAGCCAAATTCAAATGCGAGAATTCCTACAAAGCAAATGACCCAGTCCACAGTAATAAAAAAAAAGGGCATGGGAGACTAAAAGGCTTAAAAGACAATCAAATGCAATATCTATGCCATGTTTGGGCCCCAGTCTAAATAAACCAAGAAGACCTTTTTTTAGATACAAAGGGAAATCTAAGTACTGAATATTAGGTAATCTTAAACATTTATTATAATTTTGTTAGTTAACACAATGGAATTATGACTATGTTCAAGTAAAAGAGTCCTTATTTCCTTATCTGTGTTTGTAGTGAAATGATTCTATGCTGGGATTTGCTTTAAAATATTTCAGATACTCTGCCCCCTATTCTGCTCCCCTAAAAAGCTGCATGTGGAGTCGGGAAACAGATGAAATATAAGCAAGATACTGATAACTGTTGAAGTTGGGTAATGAGTATTTGGGGACTTCATTGTACTAGTTCTTAATAATTTCACTAATACTTTTTGTGTATGTTTGAAAATTTCCATAATACAAAGTTTTTAAAAAATAGGAAATAAAGAGTATTTGTAAAGAAGTATTAAATTAGGTTTCAAGATACTTGAGGACTTAAGCCAATAGTCATTGTTCTCTACACAGAAATCTAGCTCAACAGATGTGCTTAATTTGTATGTATTTTTTTTCCTAAGTTATCATTGATATACAATCTTATGAAGGTTTCACATGAGCAACATTGTGGTTACAACATTTACCCATATTATCAAGTCCCCTCTTATGTATCATTTTTTAAAGTGCCCTTTTAAAAACACACAATTTAGCATGGAAACACATGCAAATAAAAAACTGCCACATAATATGATAAGATGTAATAACAGATTTATAAAGTAAAGCAGAAATACAAAGGGATGGCGTACTTCACTCTATAGGGGAAGAGGAGTAGGGCAAAGAAGTCTTCTCAGAGAAGGTGACAGAAACTGGATTCGGAAGGAAAAGCACAAGTTTACCAGAAGACAAGGGAAGGGGAAGATATTTTCAGCAGGGGGAACATGGACAAAGGTATGCAAAATGATAAATGTGTGTGGGGAATTACAAATAGGCCAGAATGGACTTTGGTAGGGTGAGTTTGAAAATTATTAAACTGTAAGTACTAAAGTGTTACAAAGGTTTAGAGAGGGCACTTCCTAATGAAGGTTGAAAGAGAACCTAGATTAGACACAATGCTTCTTCTAAGGGAAAGATATCAAATTGTTAACTGGTGATTTCTGAGTGGTGAGATTAAAGACATTTNAGAGAGGGCACTTCCTAATGAAGGTTGAAAGAGAACCTAGATTAGACACAATGCTTCTTCTAAGGGAAAGATATCAAATTGTTAACTGGTGATTTCTGAGTGGTGAGATTAAAGACATTTTAATTTCTATTTGTTTCTCTATAATTGCCAAGTTTAAAAAATATGTATTTGTAAAATAACTTTTCCACTCTTTTAATATCTACATATAAAATACCCAATTCATATAGAATTAAATTTATATATCTGTAAGGATTCAAATAACTTCAAATTTTTCTTTTAAATCTTTTCTATTTTAAAATTTCAAAAGTCCATTTATTAAGAACATTTAATTCAAAGGACCTAATAAAGGATAGGCTTGTACTGAGTATTTAACTAATTTGAATGCCCTGTATATTATCTGAAGGAAACTCATGATAAAAATATTAAACACATTAATGCTTATCCACTTTTATCCAGTAAGCACCCCTTCAATTTTGTTTGCTGGATTAGTTTTGTCATTTAAGAAACTCAGAATATTTTTCAACAAAAATTAAAACTAAGATTTGTGATAGGTTATATTAACCCCCATTTCTTTGAAAATATCTTATTTATTACTGTAAATAAGAAAGGTAGTTTCACTGGATATAAGACTTCTGAGACTTCTCTCCTAACCTATCTTCTCTGAGATCAAATGTCTGAATATTTGCAGTTCAGTATGTCCTGTAAGATATTCCAATGGTCAATTCTTATTTAAAAACTACCAAGCATCTTGTTGATATTAAGTGAAATATTCAGGGGAAATTAAAGGAAATGTTAAGACAAAGAAAAGCTCATTTATACTTTGGAAATACTGCCACTTTTTATGCATGTATGAAATGCACATAGAATTGAACATTTATAGTTATGTTGTCATGTTGCTGAAACTTTAATGTAAATGAAGCACAAGGAAAGTTGCAGTAAGACCTCATGTGAGCCTCAACCAAGGCATCCTCTGTTGGTGTCTTGACCTGGAGGACAATTCTTGGTTCATTTGGAGGCTGAAAGCAGTCTTCAAACAGAATTATTATACATCTAGAAACAACTAACATTCTCTCTGGTTCCACCTCTATTTTGAGATGACTTTCTTTTCTGTACAACTGGTAGGCACAAAGTACAGAAAATACAGATGTTACNGGAGGAGGCTCCTGGAACTTAGTTAGAGGGGGGCTGAAAGGCTCAGGCTCAATCTGCGGGAGGGGGGGAGGTGAGGGCGACAGAGGAGGAGGGGGTAAGGTGGGGGCGGAGATGTTGATGGAGGGAGGGGAGGAGGGGGAAGGGAGAGGACAGGAGGCTTCTGCAGGGGTGGAGGCAGCTGCAGCGGCGGTAGAGGAACGGGGAGGGTCTGTTGTAGAAGGGGAAGGGAGAGGACGGGAGGCTTCTGCTGGGAAAGAGGTGGCGGTGGTGGCGGTGATAGAGGAAGCAGGAGGGGCTGTTGTAGGAGAAGGGGAAGGGAGAGGATGGGAGGCTTCTGCAGGGAAAGAGGCAGCGGCGGCGATAGAGGAAGGGGGAGGGGCTGTTGTAGGAGAAGACGCGGGAGAGGACGGGAGGCTTCCGTGGGGAAAGAGGCAGCGGCAGTGGCGGTAGAGGAAGGGGGAAGGGCTGTTGTAGGAGAAGGGGAAGGGAGAGGACGGGAGGCTTCCGCCCCGGGGAAAGAGGCAGCGGCTGGCAGCGGAGAGTGGAGGGGTTGTAGGAGGGGGAGGGGCCGAAGTGGGAAGTCTGTATGGCGGAGGCTCGTTGGCCAGGTCAAAGGTAATCAAAAAGGGACTGGGAGTGTGTGGAGGGGAGGGAGACGGCTTGCAGTCTAGGAAAACTTCGGGCGGGGAACAGGTGGTGCAGAGGCTGGGATTTTGAGCTAGGACGCGAAAAGCTTCGATATGGGGAATCTCCTTCCATTTTTTCATGCACTGGCAGTAGTTAAAGAGATTGCGAGTTATGTTAGGATCAAGAGTTCCCCCTGCGGGCCATTCGTATTGTCTAGGAGTATGTCGGCCAATCTTGGGAGCAATATTTACGGAGAAGTTTTGGTTTTTCAGGCGTCAGGGAGAGGGTAGCCAGATGCTTAAGCAGGCATTCAAGAGGTGAACTTTCAGGGAGGGATGAGGAGGCTCCCGTGGCTAAAGGACAGAGAAGGAGACAGACAGTGGAAGATGAACGGAGATCCTCGGACTGGAAGCAGACCGCAAGGAGACAAAGGGCGTCCCCGATGATCCTTGGTGGTCTGCGGAAATTCGTATACGAGTCGGAATTTCTTAGGAAGTGTGGGTCGTCACCCAGACTTCCCTAAGAAGGCAGTTTGCCAGAGTCACGAGGTACCTAGCGCTAGGAATTTTCGGCAGATTTCAGCGGACGGAACAGAAGGAGGTGGGGGGAAAAGGGAGCGTTCTCATCTGCAAAGGAGTCACCTCGTTTATGGCTGTTGGAGGGGAGCCTGAGGGTCTGCCACGGCCATGAAGTCCTGAGGCTGGGATTTATGGCTGTCGGAGGAGGGGCCTGAGGGTCCGCCGCAGCCGTGAAGGCTTGAGGCAGGGAGAGTTCCCTCTTCGTCCCTGAGTGTCAGGGCCTTGCCGGACGATCACGGGTCAATGGCACTGCGATAGCTCGGGGAAGAGTGGCCCACTCCGGGGAAATTTTGCTTAAAAAGTTTAAGGCCTGAGGCAGGGGTTTATGGCTGTTGGAGGAGGGGCCTGAGGGTCTGCTGCAGCCGTGAAGGCCTGAGGCAGGGAGAGTTCCGTCCTCGTCCCCGAGCGTCAGGGCCTTGCTGGATCACGGTCAATGGCACTGCGATAGCTCGGGGAAGAGTGGCCCACTCCGGGGGAAAACTTACCTAAAGGCCAGAGAGGAGTGTTGAGTGTGATGAGCCAGCGCTGGAAAAAGAAGACGAGGGCAAGCTGCTGCTGGTGTCGGGGGGGAAGACAGGGCCCAGTTGGGGTGTCCTGTCTCCTGGGTTTCGGCACCAATGAAAGGAAAGGAACAACACATATCAGCAATTCACCGGAGAATTCTGCTTTATTAGGGAAAGGTGCTGGGTTATATAGGAAGGGGCATAGGGTGATTGTGGTGTTACTTCTACGGGGCTGGTGGCTGTTGGCTAGGTGCTGGGATTGGGAGGGGGGCGAGAGGTGAATGGGCTTCAGGTGGTGCCGGCAGGAACCGAGGACCCTGAAGAGAAGCCGGAAGTTTGCCATCTTACTGGTGGGGACCCTTCATTAAGAACATTTAATTCAAAGGACCTAATAAACAATAGGCTTATACTGAGGATTTAACTAATTTGAATGCCTTGTATATTATTTGAAGGAAACTCATGACAAAAATATTAAACACATTAATGCTTATCCACTTTTGTCCAGTAAGCACAGCTTCAATTTTGTTTGTTGAGTTAGTTTTGTCATTTAAGAAACCCAGAATATTTTTCAATAAAAATTAAAACTAAGATTTGTGATAGGTCATATTAACCCCCATTTCTTTGAAAATATCTTATTTATTATTGTAAATAAAAAAGGTGGTTTCACTGGATATAAGACTTCTGAGACTTCTCTCCTATCCTATCTTCACTGAAATCAAATGTGATATTTTTGTGTGAATATTTTCAGTTCAAAAGGTCTTATAAGATATTCCAATTGTCAATTCTTATTTAAAAACCACCAACCATGTTGTTGATACAAAGTGAAATATTCAGGGGAAATTAAAGGAAATGATAAAACAAAGAGAAGCCCATTTATACTTTGGAAATACTGCTTCTTATGCATGTATGAAATTCACATAGAATTTAACATTTATAGTTATGTTGTTATTTTTGCTGAAATTTTAATGCAAACGAAGCACAAGGAAAGTTGCAGTAAGACCTCATGTGAGCCTCAACTGAGGCATCCTCTGTTGGTGTCTCGACCTGGAGGACAATTTTTGGTTCATTTGGAGGCTGAAAGCAATCTTCAAACAGAATTATTATTCATCTAGAAACAACTAACATTCTCTCTGGTTCCACCTCTATTTTCAGATGACTGTTTCTTATATGTACAATCAGTAAGCATAAAGTACAGAAAATATAAATGTTACAATGTTTTCAAATCATACCACGGGTATATTACGGCCTTGGTAGCTGCCAACTGACTGACCCCAAACTGATTTATAGTCATGCACTTCACTTGAAATGTAAACATAAGCCCTAAAAATCAAGTAGCAACTCAAAGCACTGAAGGTTTATCCCACCGTTTCTTTTATTATTTTGAATACTAAATGATCTTATGCACGTCTATTATCAAAATAATATAAACCACAACCAATCTACCATATTAATATAGGCATTAGTTCAACTCACTTTAAGTGTGATTTGTCTTTATTTTATTCAACACCTCATAAGCATTTTCCCATATTAATACTATCTATAGCCATCATTAAAATGGTTGAGCAAGATTTTATTAAGTGGCTTGGTCATAAGCACTTATTTTAGATGGTTAGGTGTTTTAAACCATTATAAACATAAACTATGCCATAATTAACATATTTATGCATACTGCTTTTCCTGCATTCAGGATTTCTTTTCTCTAAATTTTCTAAATTCTTTGCTTAACATTTTCAAAGATCAATATATACTTTTAAATTGCTTTCCAAAATGCATTAACAATGTATGAGAGTGCCACTGCACTTCTGGCAATGCTATCAGTCCTATGCCAACATTTTACCCGGTTTTGTAGAACAAAAAGGCCTTAGTTCATATATTGAAATGAGACTACACCTAAGATACTAATTAGCACTCTTTAACTCTGAGCCACTAGGTGGAGCTAAAAATACAAAGTAAACAGTACCAATATTTCTCTCATAACACTATTACTGAAATACTATAGGTTTTTCTTTTAGTGATAATTTTGAAGCATAAGAGATGGAATTTTAGATTAAATTTTAAATATGCAGGTTGAAATCAGGCAGATTTATGAATTCTGTACATAGGACAACTACATTTTTCTAACAATTTATATGTTTCTATCTTCCCATCTTGAATGAGAAACATAATCGAGATAATTTTTAGAGGCAAGTTAACTCTCAAAGGAGCCAGTAATAGAGACAGCTGTGCCAGAGAAGCAGCAACACCTTATTTAGGTGGAGTTTTTAAGAACATATTTTTTAATATAAATGAGGTATTCTATTTTTACCACAAGAACTGTAGAAAAGAGAGGAAAATCTATGGGCCAATTAATGGTCCAGAAGCAATGACAATTTTTAATAGACAAAACCATTAGGCACGTGTTAACTTACAATGGACCAATGGACCTAAGACCATACCAGCTGATGGGAACTTATGGCTCAGGAATTCTGGAACATAGCATTCAACCCTGGATACAACTGACATTCTACTGTTACTCAGAACAAATGCCTTTCTTCTCTTCCTTTCTCCAAATCTTCTACCCATTGTTCTTTCTCCAACACACACACATACAGCCTCAGTACCTTGAAGGACACAAGTGAATTTAGGGATTCTAGTTCTAATATATATGACAAAGAATAAGTAAAATAAACAAAGATACATCTAGAAATAATATTTTCAGCCTAACTCTTCATCTGTGTAAAACTGGTTTTACCTTCTGTTTTCTAATAATCTACCAATCTGTACAGTTCCAGACCAAGGATGAATGAATAAAGTATATTCCTGATCCTTTTTCCTCGTCTCTCCCAAGGAATTACTAAAGTTTTTTTCCTTCACTACACAACTTTTTCTACAATTTCTTTAGGTATAACTAGGTACACAAAAGAGGCGAGGAAGACAGAGCCAGAGCTATCCTTTTACAATTCAACTGTGTTCACATAACTCCACATCATTCCTCTAGCAATTACTACTTAAGTATATTCCTTTAATATCACACTCATTAATTTTAAGGTTCATTACTGAATCAGTAATTTTAGAGAAAAAGAAAAACTACCCAAACTAGAATTAAGCAAAATGGTATTGTGAAAACAATCTAATGCCACCTCTGTCATCATGAAAATATATTTATGAAATTACTTTGATGAAAGCAAATACTAGCACAATTACTTTTTTCTAGTACCTTTTGTTCTAAGAGTCCCTGGGAGGGAGACCCTCTGTTCAAGCTCCCGAAGCTCTCGATCATGTTGTGCTTCAGCCTGCATCTTAATTTTCCTCTGATATGTATTCAATAGTTCCACTTCCTGCTGCAGCTGCATTTTCAAAGCCTGGCACTCTGCCTTCTGTGCTTCATCCAAACGAGGCTGAGAGAGAGAAAGAAAACAGCTATCTATCCTACTGTGAGCTATCTTTTCATGACCTATGGAAAGTAGGAGGTGTAAGTTAAGACAGACTACTCTTCTATAGGGCACAACTAATCTCTCTTACATCTTGGAGTAAACATCTCTGAAAAGGGAAAGCATAGCAACCAATGCCGGCATTATAAGAATAAAGCTATCATAAGCTATTTGGATGATGCCTAAATAATCATTATTTTTTAAAGAAAAATATAGAATCTGATTGATATAAGACTGTGAATCTCTTCTCTCCAATGGAAATAACTACAGAACAGGGACAAGCATGCTACAGCTTATGGGCCAAATCTGAACAGCTACCTGATTTTTTGTTTTTGTTTTTCAATAGTCCACTAATTAGGAATGGTTTTTTACATTCTGAAATGGTCACATTTTAAATGGCTATGTAAATACCCACATAATAATCTCAATTTTTCCTCCTAAAATATTTACTATCTGGCCCATTAAGAAAAAGTCTGCAAACTTACATAGCAAATATTTTGTACCTGCACTCAAATGTGACCATCTGGATTCCCGATAAAGTACTACTTTTGAACACTGCTTAACAAAGCTGCTTCTCCAATCTTGATACGCTGTTGGTATACGTACTAAACCCCTGCAAGGCACCAGCAGAGAGCCTATGTGGAACCTCATGTCCAAATGTATCAAAGAGAATTACATATACATCATGCATATTTCCAAGCAATGCTAAGAACAAGAAGAATATGGACCACCATCACTATTTCCCAAGGTGCAGCAGTTTTCTCTTCCAACTTAATATTTTAATTGTTGGGATTTTATTCAGGAGGTGGAAGGAAAGAGGCACCAGATTTGTTTTGCCTAACTAAAATAAACTTACAGCTTGAGTGGACAGCATTTCATTAATGTTGTGGTCATACTGCTCAGTTAAGATGGCTAAGTTCTGGGTCTGCTTGTCCTTAGGGTTTACTATTTATCACTACGAGCAAAAACCTGAAAGTCAGTTAACTAATCTTTCAAAGGTCAAAGAAAAGTTATGAGGGAAGGGACAACCCACTTGCGGTTACTGATAACAGATATGAACTACATAAACATTTTTGAGATAAAATAATTTGAGTTCAGAAACAGAATAACTCTGGCTTTAAATCACAGGTTAATTATTCTATGAACTCAAGTTTTAACAAAACTTAGTAAGATGAGATGTATTTTATAAGGTATACACATCAAGCCTACAAGTAACAACACTCATTTACTACACAATGGCAGAACCTATAGTTGAAATTATTTACCTTAATATATATATACTGCCAGATATTGAATGGTTGACTGGGTGTGCAAATGCATATATGACCAAACACTCGTCAAGGAACTAGTTCACACTCTTTGCTCCAATACAAAATCAAATATATATCCTTTGCGGCATTTTACACCAATTGAGGTACTAAGTCATAGTCATGTACCTTTATTCTGTGAAGGGTCAAGAAATGTCTAGCTAGAAAGACAAACTCTTGGTTTAGTTACGCTTAGCACTGCTCTTAAATACTGCCCTTGGTTAATAAAATTCCTCCAAGTTAGCCAGAAATGGAACAATGAAATTTAGAATTCTCTTCTGACTTTGTGTAACAGCCTCCATTCTTTAAAAAACTTTTAAATATTCAAATATATTGCCAAGAAAATTATAGTCACTCCATATCACTAGCTAATGACAAAAAGGAATGCCTTGAAAATTTTTTTCAACAGGATTAATACTTATACCAAGAATAAACTATATCCCTCAATGTTTCACTCAAGTGAAAGCAGGATAAATATGTTCCAGTTGTTTCTTAATCACTTTATACTGATGACATAACATCACCTGATGGCAGATAAACAATAGGTGTTTACCCAAGTCATTCCTCAGAAATGGTGCCCCAATGTCTACAAATACTGTCAGCTTACCTAAGTGTGCAAACTGAAGTCCTCCTATCCCCCTTAAAGTCTTGGAGAAAGTTGGAATAGTTGCAACTATTGAAGTTGAACTATTACTTAGTAAATACAAATTTACCTAAAAAGTTGCAACTATTACTTATGTAAATGAAATGACCTGATGTTAAAATAGAGTCTGTTTTCTCCAAGAAGGGACTAGGGTTACCAGAGGGAAGGGGTTGGGGAGCATGAGTGGGGAGGGAGAAGGGGATTAAGGGGAACTATAATTAGCACTCACAATATAGGTGGGTCACAGGGAAGGCAGTACAGCACCGTAAAGACAAGTAATGACTCTATAGTGTCTTACTATGTTGATAGACAGTGACTGCAATGGGGTGGGGGTAGGGGACTTGATAGTATGAATGTTGAAACCACAATGTTGCTCATGTGAAACCTTTATAAGATTGTTTATCAATGATACCTTAATGAAAAAAAAGTTTGTTTTGTTCAAATTGTGCAAGTAGATAGATATATACAAGTAGGAGGAACATGGTGATTTTCTGTCCCACTAAAGTAACAGAACAATTTCTTTTACAGAAAATCCTGAGCATATGTATCATGAGAAGGAAGCTTTCTATCTGAAGTCTATGACTGAAACATTACTTTTCCCCTTGATTTTTTAATAGTATCTGTGAAAATCAGACTAGTGTCTACAAGCCTTCAAACGGAGAAGGCTGCAACAACAGGGAAAAAAAAGGAAGAGTTAACCAGCAAACAAGTGACCTATTCCAAGCCCCAGAGGAATGAGTCATATCAGATTTATGGTCTGACCAAAAAAAAAAAAACGAACAAGCTTTCAGTTTGGTTTACTTCTGGGTGCTGCTCACTTTAAAACTGTAATTAATTTTATAGACATGCTTTAAATATCTTTTGGTGGGAAACTACTATGTACCCACTACAAAGACAAAATAAATCTGGAAAATCATTATGAATTCTGATTGTGATAAGCATTAACTAATGACGGTTATGTGGGTAGTCAACATATGAGCCACTCTGTAAACGATGTTCATTAGCTGTTTTGAAGATACAGCGAAGTAAAATTTTACTTAGATTCACTAGGAAAGGGTGAATCTTAGCTTTGCTTCTGTATTTTGTTCAGGACAACTTGCATGAATGGAGTTGAATAGGAATCAGAGATACACTAGATGTGGTTTAGCTTCTGGTTTGGACACAGATTGCTTCTGTGAGTGAATTTAACTTCACTTCAGGAGAGTTATTCAGGTAAGTGCTGTTACCTGATAGTGTTATAGTTAAATTGTCAAAGAGTTTGAAAAAGGGGGTAAAGAAGATACTGTGGGATCTGGGCCTTAATGGATGTAAATACAAGTTTAAAATGTGCAGACACATACAGATTAATTGAGGTACTACTATGGATGACAACATACACAGTGGGTCATTTTGGTTTTTTGTTTATTAAGATTCATGTGATTATACTTCACATATTTATTACAAGTTATAAAATTAGAAAATTCCTTGGAATTGTTAACTCTGGTTGATTTTGGTAGAGGGGGCTGGACCAGGTGGCTTAAAGAACAAGGAGAGGGAAACCTTTAACTTTATAATAAATACACTTTGGCATCTTTTGAATTTTGTATCATATGAATAAATTTCTCTATGAAAGCAAATACAAAATTTAAAGTCCTTTGATATTATATATCACCAACACTTGTCTTTCCTTATTTGTCTACAAGAGAGCATATAATACCTTGCTTCACTCTGATGTACTAATTAAAAAAATACACTCCAACTACACATGCCCTGGTCTTACCTATGTTACCAAGCACAGAAAGAATGGGAGTAACAATGTGATAATTCCACTATTCCTCTTAGGATGAGTATAGACAATGAAGGGAGAGGGGGTAAAAAGGCATTTTTCATTCTCTGGTTTTCTGTACTAATCAAGAACTTACTGCCTCTTTCAGATACAAATTACATTCAGAGGAAATAAGATTCCAAAACTATAAAACTTGGAACAGAGAGAAGCCAACAGGATAGTATGTTGATATACAGATTGTAGCATCAACATTGGACATTTGGGTACACCTAAAATAAGAATTTTGAATCTTATTTATGGCACTTTCCGCAGTTAAAAAGTTCTGGCCATTTTTTCATACTCTGCTGAGAAATACACAAGCAGAAGTCTGTAGGTACAGACCCTCTACATCAAAACTAACCAAATGCTTAAAATGAAAACGAAAAAAGCTTATTCAATTTCTTTATGACAGACATCTGGCTTAGACTTTTACTGTTTACATGATGCCTTTTATCTGTTCCCTTTGTCAAGAAGCTTAGGCTAAAGGTACCTTCAGACTCTTAGGCTGCTGTCAAACCTCTAGGAATATGCTTTCTCCTTAGTTCTCGCTCTCTCCGTTTATTATGCTCCAGCTGGTCAGTGAGCTCGGTTTGACGCTGAGTCTCATCAGCTCACAGCGCATCTTCTGCGCTGTGTTGAGGTGGTGGAACTCCAGTTCTTGCATGTATTCATGCTGTCGCAGTAGCATTGCATGCTCTAAGTCCTTTTGAGACTGCCTCTTATTTAACTCCTAATTCATAACACAAGATGTACAATGCCAGGAGAAAAAAAATCCTAAGCAACAGAATAACCAGGATATAGATGTAATCCTCTGATTTAATAATGGCTCACAGTAAATATTAGAGTTTTATTACTTTAACTGTAGTAAATTAGAAGCATAATTTCCTTATCTGTTCATTTACTCTTTATACTATTTTTAGCAATAAGCTTAAGACATATCAAATCTGTCCCAAGAGACTTAATGTCCTTTCTACTCTCTTTCCTTCACTTATGTTTCCTAATTTTGTATTTGAAGGGGACTTCTAAGTCATCCTTTGAATTTCTTCAGAGTATACATGCTGTATGCCCAGTAGAGTGTGGTGGTTAAGAACACAAGACTCTAGGGCTAGACTGCCTGCTTTCTAAAACCTGGATTGGCTACCGACTAGCAGTGAGTCCTGGGTTAATTACTTAAACTCTCCATGCTTCAATTTCATTACTTCTCAAATGGAGA